CTGCCTTCTCCCCTTCTCATATTGTAAACCAAAATGAAGTTTTGCAAAGGTCAAACACATCAAATATTGATCCAAAAAGAGCTAGGTTCATTCCCACCCCCCTTCCCCATACAAATTCTTAATCTCTCTAGGCCAAAGCTATAGAACAACAGTTACTCACTGTACTATCTCCAAGTAACTTTGGGGAGCTGCATCTCCCCCCTCCTTCTACCTCTGTTCCCTCCCCCCCATGACACTTCCCATCTAAATCAGCTGACTGGCTCTCTGACACTCCACCTTCAAGGGAGGATGCTTTAGAGTATTTTGATCTTAAATGATTCAGACAGGGATGTAACACTGTAGGAAGGTGGTCTGGGAACCAGTTTAACATCACTCATCTCGTCTTTGAGCTCTGCCCTCTGCTGTTTACAGCTTCAGAGAATTCGAAGTGCAAAAGTAAACAGGGATGCTCCCAAACCAGGAACCATAGAGGCTTGCTTGTGGCTAGAATCTTGTGGCACAGAGCAGAAAGCATGTTGGTGGCTTCTCACTGGGAGTCCACAGACTAACTTGTCTACCTCCTGAAGCAGCTACTTTGGAGCTCTCATTTTGTCCCGTGTAATTTCCTTGGTCACCACTGAATACTAGCTGGCTCTATGTAAAATGATTGTAAGGTGCACAGCTGTACCCCGGCTTTCTGTAGTTCAAAAAAGAGTAACACAAATGCTTAGGAGGATGGAGTAGATTCTGTATGAGGAGAGGTTACTATGAATGGTATGTTTAAGCTTGAAAGCGCTGATTGGGGGGGTAGGGAGGAGGAGATGACCGAGATCTGGAGTGGAGAAAGTCAGTAGGGAAGCATTTACTCCTTTTTGTACCAAAAGAGCTAGGGGTCACCAAATGAAAGTTATAGGCAGCAGGTTCAAAACAAAAGCAAGTATTTCTTCACACAATGCTCATTCAATGTGTGGAAGTCTATGCTAGAGGATGTTATATAGGCCAAGGAATAAGAGGGTTCAAAAAAAGAAGCTAGATAAATTCATGGCGGGTAGGTCCACCAATGGCTATTAGCAAGAATGGTGTCCCTTGCCTCTGTTTTGTCGGAATCTGGGAATGGGCCACAGAAGGGATTGGACTTGATTACCTGTTCTGTTCGTTTCCTCGGGGTACCTGCCATTGGCAACTATCAGACAGGACACTGGGCTAGGGAGACCTGTAGTCTGATCCATCATGGCTGTTATGTTCTATAACAGTGTTTCTCAACCAGTGGTACGAATACCCTTAGGGATACTCGATAGAAGTCTGGGGGCTACGTCAACACAACTGAAACTTGGAGAAAACTGAATGTTTGTGTTTTACAGAGCTTTATTATTTTTGTACTTTTTACACCCAAAAATTTCATAATTTGTCTGAAAACTGTAGGCACAGGGCGTACTTATAATTTTTAAAGGGGTACTTTATATAAAAAAGGTTGAGAAACACTGTTCTATAACACCTTCAGTCTGAGGAGATCAAAGCATTGTAGAGACCAATGGAATTATACCTCATGCCATCTTGGAAACCAGAAAGCGTTCTTTCCAGCACATACCTGTGCAGTCTGAGGCAAAAGGAGTGGGATGTGATGGCCCAAGTTGCACAGTGTCTCATTTGAAAAGCTGGGAATTAAACCCCAACCTCCTGAGTCCCCATCTTGTGCTTTATAACTGCAAGAGCGTTGTTCCCCAAAGTGGTGTGGATTAGTACTGCCTCAGTGTGAAATGCTTGGCTCCATACAGCGTGAAATGCTTGGCTCCTCTACAAGAGGACTTAGCTTATTTGGTCATTGTCCTCAAAGTAATCACTGGCCCTTACTCCCCTGTATGGCAGTGGGACATGAAGAGATACCATCAGTGTGGTTTTATGGTACAAGGTATTTTCCCATACCCCTAGTTCAGCCCCTGAAAGTTCAAAAACAGACTCTGCTCTCCTGAGTCCACTTGTGTTGCATGAATGCATAGGCAGCTGGTGCATGTGAGGATAGAGTGTGCAGGGAGGGGGCATTAAGAGGAACCTCATTTAGCAGTAAAGGTTTTGGTGGGGGCACAGGGAGGTGGTGCAGCTCCTGAGTGCAGTGAATGCAAACTGTGGGCGCTAGGCTGCCCCGAAAGCAGGAGCAGGGCTGTTGGTGCAAAGCTGCTCTTTTCAAAGGAAGGTGCTTGAAGTAGGGATGTTATGGACTAGTCAGTTGCCCTCTCTCCCCTCCCTTTCCCCCCCTCCGCTGCCCGTCAGATAGAGGCAGCAAAGGGGGGGGAGGGAATACTTCAAAGTGGCAAGGCTGCATAGCTGAGGACTCTCGATCCCAGGCTTCAGTGCAGCATTTCAGTTGCAGCTGACCCTGGGTTCTAGGGAAATGCTGGCGGAACCCACGGCTGACCCCAGCTCCGCGTGGCATTTCAAAGTGCCAGCACAGCACAGAGACTCTGAGTCCCCTGCTGACTCTGGGCTCCCTGCTGTGCTGCCTCTTTGAAATGCACAAGAGCCCCTGCTGCAGACTCTTGTGCGTTTCACAGAAAGCACACTGTCAGGGGGACTTCCCGCTTGGCCCCAGGCTGCACGTGGCGGTCTCAATGTCAGTGGGGGCTCTTCTACATTCCTCCTTTGAAATGCACAAGTCCCTATCAACTAGTTGAGTAGTCGATGGAAATTCCATTGACTACTCGACTAGTCGGTTAACAGTTACTTAACATCCTTAGCTTGAAGCCACCTCATTGAGCTGGATGGGGGTGGGAGGCAGGGATGTGGAAATTGGGGATGTAATTGACTAGTTGCTTCCCCCCTTGCTGCTCTGTCACAAAGGTAGCAAGAAGGAGGAAAAGAGAGAAGTGCTGGAGGGAGCCGGCTCAAAAGCTGTTTTCTTCCCCTGCCCTCCCTCCCCCCCCAATGGGGCTCTTGTACATTTCAAAGTAGAAGTGCCTGTGTGGAGCCTGGGGTCAATGAGACTCCCTGCTGGCCCCAGGTTCCCCACAGCGTTTCAGTTTTTTAAATACATAAAAGCCCCTGCTGGGGCTCTTGTACATTACAAAGACAGAATGCTGGAGTCCTTATCGACTAAATGAATAGTCGATGGAAATCCCATCGATTATTCGATTAATCGAAATTTAACATCCCTAGTGGAATCCAGGCAGCCTGCAGACCAGTGCCAATGGGCTTGGGTGGCCCAAATTTTGGACTCGCCAACCTGGATGTGATTTCCCCTTCTAACGCACAGCAAAGCGGCCTTATTTGATTCAGCCTAGTCTCCAAAGATGCTGCAGTCTCTTTGCCTGGGATCTCCTGAAGGGTGCAGGCAGCTGCGTGATCCTCTAGCACTGTAATCTCAAACTTCACTAATCAGTTATTGTGCCTAATCTTGCTAAGTAGAGGTTTTTGTTCCTCACAGTGAAGAATAAATCACTAGTCAGAGTGCAATCATATTAGTGTTTGCCAGTCAGTTTGGAAAGCCTCTTAGCATCCTGCATGGCAATAGGGTATCCACATGGCTTCTGCTGGCACTTTCCACAAGCACCATCTGCAGCACAAGGAGAGCTAGCCTGCCTGCAGCTTTGAGAGAGGTTTGTCTTCTTTCACCCCACAGAGCAGTTGGGGGCAGGGCCTGGTTCTTCAGCGGGGATTATCCCAGCAGATTAATTATGAAGCCACAGTGACTGCTATTATGCTAGAAACATGGCAGTGACAGAAAGGGGTTCTTCCATCGCTGGAGTAAAACCACCTCTTCCAAGAGGCAGTAGCTAGATCAAGGATAGGATTCTTTCAGCAACTCAGTGCTGTCTACACTGGGGCTTAGGTCGACTTAACTATGTCTCTAGGGGTATGACTTTTTCATATCCTTGAGCAATGTAGAAGGATCCACCAACTTTCTAAGACTCCACCTTGAAGGCCGGTGAGGAAGTGCAAGGAGGATGCTGGGATACCAGCCGATACTCTCACTGTGGAGGATTTACTATGTAACAAAGACTTTGCAGAGGATGACAACAGCTCTGAACTGAAATGTGTTTTTTTTTTCTCAAGTCACATACATAATTAGCATCTGTCTCTTGATTTTATATCAGAGAGGTAGCCATGTTAGTCTGGATCTGCAAAAGCGACAAGGAGTCCAGTGGCACCTTATAGACTAACAGATGTATTGGAGCATAAGCTTTTGTGGGCAGAGACCCACTTCGTCAGATGCATGACCAAGTGGGTCTCTGCCCACGAAAGCTTATGCTCCAATACATCTGTTAGTCTATAAGGTGCCACAGGACTCCTTGTCGCTTCTGCTAATTATGGAGCAAGCAAAACCAAATGTAAAAGCCCTTTAAAAAAAAAAAAAAAAAGTTACATAGTAATTCCAAACACGTCAGCTCTCTGCTATGATGGCTATTTCTTCCTGTTGGCAAGTCCACAGTCCCGGAAAAGTCCCTTCTTCCAGCTGCAGTCAAAAGCTGTAAACAAACATGAAGACAGAACTGAAACCTTAAGGCTGCTCCAGATGGGCCTCCAGGTATGAGGGTCTAGGCTAGCTTTGATTCCCATGTATTTCAGTCTAATAATAAGAGAACTTCCTGTTCACTGTCGCCAAGTAAAGCTCTGTGTCGCTTCCTCAGATTGTGGGCTGTGGGGACTTCAGGGAAGTTCTTAGAGGGAGGCGCGCTGTGTGCATGCACCTTTTGTCGGGAACAACATAGTACCATGTGGATTCTGCCCCGTGATGGCTTGTGAGATCTCTCACTCCAGCAGCACACGGCACATGCAGAACTTGCGGTTGTGTAGGATCAGGAATGAAGCTGGCTAACAAGCCCCTGAGTATCTCTGTGCTGCTGCGAGAGTGGTGAATAAACCTGAGATGTGCAGTGTTACCAAGAGCTAGCCTTATTTGTGTCAGGAGCAAGGTGGGGACCAATACAAGCCCTTTGGCTCCCTTTTCCCTGACTTGTGGGCTATACTCGGATACAGGTTTCAGATCTGTTTAACTGATTGTAACCCCTTTCTCTTTGTTTTGCTAGATCATGATTGAGTTTTGCCCTGGTGGGGCAGTGGATGCTGTCATGCTAGGTAAGTGCATCAAATCAATATCCTTACTTTCACTAGGAACATGTTGGAGAGTGAGGAATCGGCGCCCCTGGGAATGTAGGGCGCCCCCTCTCCATGTCATGTTCCTGTGCTCCTTAAAAGCAGACTTGACATCACCACCACCACCCTGTGGCTTTTTGCCTGGCTTTTGTAGGGCACCGTGTCATCGTTTTCTGTGTAACTCTAAATAGAAACCCTGCTGTAGCATTAACCATGGAGCCTCTGATTCTCTTCCATAGTCTGCGTGCAGAGTAAGGTTAAATATTGAGTTATGGCAATTTCTGGGCATCTTCCTAGCAACTTGAGGCATTTTGCTGCATGGCCTGTAGATTGTTCAGTCTTGGCAAGGCATGGGAACCAGGTTGGTGTGTGGTTTTTTTTTTTTTTGTTTTTTTTTAAAAGTACTAGAGGGGTAGCCATGTTGTCACCTTAAAGACTAACCGATTTATTTGGGCCCATGGTCACTGACTAGTCGATCGTGAGGTGTTTGAGGTCCCCCAATTCCCTCCACCCCCAAGAAACCCCACTACCTGCCTCCGAAAATGGAGGTAGTGCCAGCTTCCTGCGGGGTGGAGGGAAGTCTGGCAGCTGCGCGCCACTTCCGGGGTTTCCGGAAGTGCGCTGCCTGCTCCCCTCCTCCAGGTCTGTGGCGTGCCAGGAGGAGGTAGGAGTCCCTGAGGAAGACGTGTGCTGGGGTTTCGGGGGGGAGGGGAAGAGAGGAGAGGGGAAAGGAGGAGCGCACTGGGGCTCCCCTCCTCAAGGAAGGGGCGGGGCAGTAGATCTTGGCTTGTTGTGTCATTTAAAAAGTGATCTTGGGTGTGTAAAGGTTGGAGACCTCTGATTTGGGCATAGGCGTTTGTGCATCTGACGAAGTGGGCTGTTGCCCACGAAAGCTTGTATCCCAATAACTGTTAGTCTTTAAGGTGCCACAGGCCTGCTCCTTGTTTTGGTGATTTTTAGAGGGATGGGTGCCTTTCTGCTGGAGGAGGTTTGTTAGGGGTGCTGGATCACATGATGCTCCTAAGGAAAGCCCTCCAGCTGTTAATCTGGGCATTACTGACACTGAGGCTCAACAAATCTGTTTCCATCCCTATCATCACTAATCCATTGAAACCAATAACATTAGGGTAGACTGAGACTTACATTAATGCCACAAAACCACCATTTTGACTCCTCCAAGGCCTTTGATTGCCATGGAGCGTATTGATCTGGCTAGAGCTGCAGCTGTACCCAGCCGCCCCAAATGGCATTACAGCCCCATTGTGTTAGGCACTGTACTAGCCTACGTGAAGATAGTCTCTGTTGAAAAAAGGCCCCTTCTGCCTCAGCTGGAGAACAGTGCTCCTGGTCTCTGCTCATCTGGAGATTGTGGGACAAGGTCACAACTGCCGCTTCCGTCACTTTCCCCAGGGTGATTTTTCCCGGAGGTCATGAAAATCTGACTGTTTTCTCCTGCAAAAGTGTGCTCAGCCCAGGCACGTTGCTTTCAGTTCCCAGTTTACAAATCAGTAGAGCCCTGCACGGATACAGAATGTTGTATCTGCAGCCACATCTGCATCTGCAAAAATGAGCCACATCCACAGATGCAGATACCCATGGATATCTGTGGATTTGGGAGGGGCTCTACAAATTGGAACCCTGTGCTTAAATTAGGAACCTTGTCTAAAGAACTGCAGTGTTCTGCTGTGGTGTCCAAATCTGCTGTACTGTCCATGGTAGCCTGGCACCCAGGTTCGGAGATGAGGGCCCCTGCTTGAGAAGGGATGATGCACTCTCTGTTGTGTATCTGCACTCGTGGGACTGGGGCTGTAGTGTAGATTTGTTATGGTCGAGTTTTCCAGCTGAATGGTGGGTCCCAGCAGGACAGGAAATCATGGATGCTAAGTCTCTTGAGGCACTAGACTCCTATCTCGTCAGGCCTGGTATCTCCTGTTTCGGAGACAGCCAGCCTTGCAGAGGATTTGGTTTCAAATGGAGGAGGGAGGAAACTGGTATTATGAACTCCTGACTGGCCTGGCATACAAGCCAGTTCCATTGTTGCCAGGATCAGGCTATATTAAATAGATGCCTGGGGATCCAGAGAGCCTGCTGCCCATGTTAGTAAATGAGTCCCAAGAGAGTCTAAGTTTCTAAGTTAACAGCAGAGCTGATCTGGAAAACAAGAGAGGAGGGGAAATCATGGCCATTTAAGTTTTGTCTTCGGCTTGATAGCCTGCTCCTGAACAGATGTACAGTGGAAAGCCTTGTTTGGCCATGCTCTCAGCTGAGAGTCACTGCAAATATCAGCTTTGAGTTACTGAAGGAAAGAGGGAGGCAGAAAAAGGAGGAAAACAAAACAGCTGAGCCAGCATCTTTTCTCTGGGTCTGCGTTTAAGTTCCTTGGCTTTGAATGACTGGCTGTCCTACATAACATAAGTTTCTTTCAGTCCTCCTTTAATGTACAATAGGCTATTCTAGCTGCCTGGAAAACACATGCATCTGTTCCAGCTGCCTGGATTTGCTGGTCCCCGGATTGTCCAGTTTTACTAAGCCTTGGGTGGAGAGGGAAGATTTAATACAAGGAGGCTGGGTCGGGAGAGGGACTGAGGGCTCAACCATGTGGAGATAGATGGTTTGCAGAGGTGGAGCCTTTGGGGTGGGGTAGAGTGTGAAGGAGCAGAACTCTGCAGCTTGGGCATCCCCATGAGCTGCAGAAATAGAAGGCAGCTGGAATTACAGTTGGGCCAACGGATGTGTGTGAATTATGCACGTGACTGATTACTGGGCCTGGCACCACTCCGTGCATGTTTCTCCCTGCGCCTCTTCCCAGTCCTACTGATGCCAGTCCCCGGGCCTTGGTGTGCAAATCAGTATCTTAATGAAGATTCTGGTGTTTCCTGCCATTAGATTTCAGGCCTATTCTCTCCATGGTGTCCCAGTGGTGAATACATTTGTCCAGCCCTCAAGGAGGGAAACTAGACCCTCTCTGTTCAGATTCAGAGAGTGATGCTTTCCACAAAGAATGAGCCTGTAACCAGAAAGTCTCGCTAAAAAATGTGCACTGGGGAGAAGGTTCAGTAGAGCACCAGCTCTGAAAGCAGATGGGACTATTGGGCTGTGAGCTTAGGGAATTGACTTTCTCAGATTTGTGTGGGCGTCTCAGATGTATAGTGGCCATACAGAGGCAGCCTCTGTTGCTCAAGTGAACCCTCTCTACTCCCCTCTTGGTTTAACTTCTGTCTCTCCACAGAGTTGGATCGAGGTCTGACGGAACCCCAGATTCAAGTGATTTGCCGCCAGATGTTGGAGGCTCTTGTCTACCTTCACAGTAAAAAGATCATCCACCGTGACTTAAAGGCAGGCAATGTACTTCTGACCCAGGATGGAGATATTAAACTCGGTGAGCGAGTAGTTGGGGCGCTGCAGAGCGAGAAGCTGGGTACATGTTTGCTAGGTGGCTAATTCTGAATTGGTGGCAAGTCAGTCTCCTCAGAGCAGCTTGACTGTACTTGTGACTCTATTGCAATAAACTCTTAGCAACTGCTCACAGTCTCTTACAAGCCACGTGGTAAGAAGCCTTGGTGGTTGGTACGTCTGAAAAAGTCAGCCTGAAGTTTTGTTTCAAAGGCAAAATATCTCTCCAGCGTGAGTAGGGCAGCTGTGAAACTAGCCAGCATGCTTTATCTGAGTCTACTTAATGCCTGCTGGAAGTAAAGATGCTGGGGAAGGTTTCTACCCACTCCTGGGGCAGAAGACTGGAATGAAAGGAAGACTGTTGGAAGGAATTACAAAGGGTGCTGCATGAGCCATGCCAGCTGCCTACAGCATGCCATGACTGCAACTCCATGTTAGAAACATGCTGTCCTGTAGATTTTCCTTAATCTGAAGCTCAGGTTTGGCAGCTGAGCAAATGAGAGCTGGAAATGAGGAAGGGGAGCATGTCTCTCTCTTTCCCATCAGCTCCCATGTAACAGGACTTCCTGCAGAGAGGGTGTGTTGGTCTGGCTTGCTCATCCTTCAGGAAATTGCTTCACTAGGGCTTCCACTTGAGCGCCTTCAGCAGGGGTGTCACACGCTGACTTGCTGAACAGTCACTCGGGGTCAGGCAGCGGGCTTTGGATTGTGTGTTATGAATTCTCCAGCCCCGTGGTGCCCAACCCATGCCTAAAAGGTTCTAGATGTTCTTGCTGTTCTGCAGTCCTGGTCGCAACAGGGAAAGGACTAGGGCTGCGTTATGTTTAGGGTGTGTGTCTCCTGCCCGGGCAGTCTTCTGTTAATTGACTTGCCCA